TCACGCAACGGTCCAGGATCGCAAATCCCAAGTTTTGTAATTTTGCTGTCGCGACGCACAGCTTTACGGGACACAACATGACGAAACGACGCTGTTCCATCGCCCGCACCGAGCATACATTTGTTGAAGTTTTATTGAAGAAGTTAAAATACAGGCGGGATATTCGGGATATTCAGGCGGGATATTCGGGATATACAGGCGGGATATTCGCGATATACAGGCGAGATATTCGGGATATGCAGGCGGTATATTCGGGATATGCATGCGGTATATTCGGGATATGCATGCGGGATATTCAGAATATATACAGGCGGGATATTCGGGATATGCAGGCGGTATATTCGGGATATGCATGCGGTATATTCGGGATATGCATGCGGGATATTCAGAATATATACAGGCGGGATATTCGGGATATACAGGCGGTATATGTGGGATATGCATGTGGGATATTCGATATTCGCGATATACAGGTGGGATATTCGCGATTTGCAGCCGGGATATTCGGGATATGCATGCGGAACATTCGGGATATACAGGCTGGATATTCGGTATATGCAGGCGGTATTTACGGGATATGCATGCGGGATATTCGTGATATACAGGCGGGATATTCCGGATATACAGGCGACAAATTCGGGATATTTCTTTAGTTTATGCCATTTTCAAGATTGTGAACATGGAACCGAGTTTTGGATTCGATGTGTAGCAATATCAAGAATATTCGTTGCATTCCAGCAATTCAATTGTCAATATTTAATGATTTTATTATATTGACCCTTGACAGAATTTTGTGCGTGGTGCGTGGTCATGGATTCCAATTTTGGATTCAGCGTGTGAGAAAATCAAGAATATTTGTTATATTGGTAAAGGCTTGAATGTGGCATAGTTTTGCTGTACCGAATCCAGACAGTATTTTAAATAATTATTTGTCCATATTGAGGGGAAACTAACAAACCTATTGTTCTATGGGCAAATAAAAATGTTCTAAAGTATTTGAACATTTTTTCAATGCTACCGCCTCATTCTAATAGCAATCAAAAACAGGAAATTGGATTCGTTTTCTCTACAATAAAACGTTAAAAGTGAAATTAAAGTTTTTTGAGCAGAATATAACTAAGTTAGGTGAAATGTAAAAGTTGAACAAGCGCAGGGAAACTTTTCCAGGCAAAATAAAAGTCTTTCCTGAAAAATGAGGTTGATTGGCATAGCACAAAAGTTGATTTAATTGAAGTTGATTGTTATATCTAGCTCTAAAAATAATGGAGCGGTTGGCTTAAAACCATCAATTTTCAGTTTAAATTATAGATTCAAATTCAATTCAGAAGTGGAAAAAAAATATTCTTCGAAATAGGGTTGAATGAAAATTTTATAACGTATGTGGGTTCGAACAAATCGCACACGTATCATATTATATAATATGATAGTATATACAATTATATTTCATATTATATATTATTAATTGTAGGTTAACCTGGCGTTCCCGATATGATGATTGCTGCAATTTTGTTATCTTCTTGTCACAAATTCCTTTATTCGTGTAATCCCTAATAATGATCAAACATTACAATACATTTAAATGGAGGCCCATTCAAACTCACATTTGTCACAAAATATATACTGCACATTTTGCTCTCGTTTGAAAATGAAAAGACATGTTTATGGTCTTTCAAACTTCAAACTATAAAATTCAATTTGAATTTACTGGTTACAATTAAAACGTGAATTTTTTCATATAATCCCTTTCAAAAGTGTTTCAATATTTGTATAATTTTACCAATTCAATTTTCTGGATGGATTCATTCCTATGTGGTTTTCCTTCATCCAATCCACATTTGATTTTCCCCCTTCCTACAATCTTTCAAAACTCATACAAAGAATTTATTTTCTGGGCCAGGTTATAGCTCGACACGATATGTATACAGTGGGGGGAAATAAATATTCGTACACTTGAAAAATCGTATTTTAATGTATGTAAGTACACAAACTGAACAGGAGAAGTGATTTATATTATGTATATAGAGGCGCATTGTATTCAAAAATAGCATCAATAGAAATTAAATCTCAATGCAACAAAAATTAATGCAACATGTTAACTTCTTCGGGTCAAAAAAGTATTCGTACAAAACAACTTTTGACTAATATTTCACACCAGAACATTCCAGAATGTACTAGAAACATGTAGCACGTTCCAGTAATGTAATCAGTAACCATAGTTAACGTATTTTGCAACTACCAGATCATTCTGCAACTGCCGTAGTACAAGAAGGTCTCAAAAATGGCTAAAGGTAAAGAACTAACAAATACTATGCGTCTCTATACATAATTTAAATCACTTTTCCTGTTAAGTTTGTGTACTTACATACATTAAAATACGATTTTTCAAGTGTACGAATATTTATTTCCCCCCACTGTAGTTGATTCCATAAAACAGGGTGAACCAGAATTAAGTAACCCTTTTAATTTGTTAATAAATAAAAAACTAAGAACGTTATGAAGTTGAAACTTGTCTTATTTAAAAGATGAACATTTTTATGGTAATATTGTATCCTAGTTTTTAAATATAATATATTTTAAATGCCCACCACAATTGTTTTGACAAAATAGGGCTCTTCTCTTCGTTGCTTTCATAACCTTCATTAGTAATTTCCCAGTATCCGCAAATTTTCGATAAAGAGATTTAATTGTTTTTTTTTGAAGGACTGATTCTTGTTTTGAAATGGATCCCGTAATCACGTTGAACTTCTGTTATTGACATCGTCCTGATGTAGGTTTGCAGAATTTTCGTTCTTTCTTCTTTGCTGTAGCGAATCATGATGAAAATTTAAGGCTTGATTATTAAACACAAATTTAGCGCAAGCTAAACAGGATAATGACGTAACTATGATACAATATTACCATAAAAATGTTCTTCTTTTAAATAAAAGAAGTTTCAACTTCATAACGTTCTTAGTTTTTTATTTATTAACAAATTAAAAGGGTTACTTAATTCGGGTTCACCCTGTATATTGGTGATGCTAGGCTACGAACACACTCATACACAGAGTACAAGAATATTTCAGATTAGCTACAGGAATAAGAAAATTGTTGATTAGTCAGCTGATTAATAAACGGAAAAATTAGACTATCAAATCTCAGAGATTTTTCAAGTCGCTGGTGCTTCATATTGACAACATTTAGAGCGTTTGTTTTTATTCAATTTTGTCGGATAAATTTCTACTCGCTGGAAAAGTTAATGCACAAAATACAATAAATTAAATTTCGTTTTTTAGGAAGTGTTCTTAGTTTTTTCCTGTGGTGATCACGATGACAATTAAAGGTTTAACTTTCTATTTTTTTCTTAAATTTGTGATTGTGAATGTAAAGTCGTCGTGTTCATTCGTTCGCGTGTAATGCAGGATTAAAATAATCCAAACAAACGTAAACTGTCCACATAAATTCACTCTTTCGTTTTAACTAATTCCATCGCAAAGAAAGATAAATTTAAAATGATAATTTTTTCGAAAAGTTCTAATATGACTTTCTAAGAAAAATTCAGGCTACATAAGGGTTGAGGATGACAGCACTGTTCCGCCGGTGGTTCCTAACCCGGCGTCTCACGGCGATGAGGACGAGGCACGCGCAACCTCTCACTACCGCCGCCTGACGCGCACTGGCACTGATCGACGGCACTCGATGAATCCCGAGCAGCTGATCACCCTACATGTGTCCATAACTTACCATCGGGATCATCAACACTGTGATGATCAGGAAATGATCAGTCGTATTGAATGACATGATCATTGTTATTAAACCAAACCACTTAAAAACGATAATAATATTGGTATAGCGCCTTCTTATATCCGCTAAAATTGAAATAAAAACTTATAGTTTAACAAACCTTTAGCAATTAACGCTAAAACCTACAAGACTCTTAAGGAATATTTAATGAACTAACTGAGGTGAACGCGTCGTCGATGCAGAGCTTCCCAGCTCCTGGTAGCTTTACTAGTGCGCAGGGTTGAAATAAACGTTGTTTAATTATGTAATTAAAGGGAAACGTTGAATTAAACGTTGTTTTGTTGAATTAAAGCTGGTTAAGCGTCGTTCATTTTCACACAAACTGCAATCTTCGCTTAAATTTACGTGGCGTTGATATGTGTAGATGCAATCAAAAGTGAAGTACAAATTAGTCTCAGCCTTCGCTGACGTTGAGTTGTCAGCTGGCATGTGTCAGCTGTACAATACAGTCGCCAGCTGGCAAGTGTCAGCTGTACAATACAGTCGTCAGCTGGCATGTGTCAGCTGTACAATACAGTCGTCAGCTGGCAACTGTCAGCTGTACAATACAGTCGTCAGCTGGCAACTGTCAGCTGTACAATACAGTCATCAGCTGGCATGTGTCAGCTGTACAATACAGTCGTCAGCTGGCAACTGTCAGCTGAACTACTCGTCAGCTGGCAAATGTCAGCTGTACAATACAGTCGTCAGCTGGCAACTGTCAGTTGTACAATACAGTCGTCAGCTTGCTGTCGTCACTTGTAAAAATGCACAGACAGTTCCATGCTCACGCAACTCTACTCTAAAATGCGCCACAAATTTTTTTTGAATCACTTTGGAGCAATGCTTCTCAATTATACATTACACGACATAATTGCCTCAAGTTTATAGATGAATTAAAATAATTCATGCGTTGTTCAGGTCGTTGATGAATTTATATTGCATGACACGCACACATGCCCCCGGGTGCCACGTCGCGGTGCTCTATATAAGGCCAGCACGCGGGTGCTGCACCGCAGTGCAACTACTGCACCTGTCACAGCAACACCTGCGTACTGTGGTGCAGTGACTGGTTACAGTACCAATTTATGCACATAAAGTAGGAAGAACTGAAGATTAATTTTTTAGGATTAGATGAACTATTTTAATACAATTATATAAGTTTTATCAGTCAAGTAGAACTGAATGCATTTGGATGAAAATTCAAGTCAAGGATCTAATTATATGAATTATTTCAGTAAAATTTGATACAGGTACTTTTGCATTCATATCTTAATGGAATATGTACCAAAATTCTATTGAACCTCATTATAAAGATTCAAAATATATGGATTTACTGATGAAAATGTTTTGCAGCTAACTATATTTTATATTATAGGCAATATAGATTTTCTTGTAGTCATCAGACCGAAGGTAGCGACAACAGACCGAGGGTAGTGGCGTCAGACCGAGGGTAGCGATATCAGACCGAGGGTAGCAACATCAGACCGAGGTTAGCCATATCAGACCGAAGGTAGCGACAACAGACCGAGGTTAGCCATATCAGACCGAAGGTAGCGACAACAGACCGAAGGTAGTGGCATCAGACCGAGGGTAGCGATATCAGACCGAGGGTAGTGACATCAGACCGAGGGTAGCGACATCAGACTGAGGGTAGCGACATCAGACCGAAGATAGCGGCATCAGACCGGGGTTAGCGACATCAGACCGAGGGTAGCGGCATCAGACCGAGGGTATAGCGGCATCAGACCGAGGGTAGCGACAACAGACCGAGGGTAGCGATATCAGACCGAGGGTAGCGACATCAGACCGAGGGTAGTGACATCAGACCACCGAGGGTAGCGACAACAGACCGAGGGTAGCGATATCAGACCGAGGGTAGCGACAACAGACCGAGCGTAGCGATATCAGACCGAGGGTAGCGACATCAGACCGAGGGTAGTGACATCAGACCGAGGGAATGGCCAGGGTTATCAGCTGCGCTGGTCTCGTTCTCGTTGTCCTGCTCGCCGCATTGGGTGAGTAAAAGAGGGAATTCCGTTGAATTTTATGTATAGTAAATTTGGAAAATTCCATGATGGCAAAAAAAATGGAAATATGATGATAGTAAACTAATTGTCAACGATTTCATTTATCTTAGTATATGGAATATTAGTTTTTTATGAGCTGGTGATTACAATATTTCAAACTTTGTTTCATTACCTTGTGTGAGTTTGAACAATTTTTAGGCTTATTTTCACTCAACTCGTGAAGATTGCATTATGTGGAAATGTTCTATTAATATTTATTATTATTTATTTTTACTAATTGTTCATGGCTAATATCTGATTGGGTTTACACGCAATGACGCATGAAGAGTCTAAGTGGGTAAGATGAAGTTCATACAAACATTTCATCCATGTAAGTAGAACTGAATACTTGCAACATGCTGATTGGGTTGAGAAGCGACTGTTTTTTAGCGACTGTTTTGTGCATAACTGTGAAACAGGTATTAAACTACTACATTCTGCATAACTGTAAAATATTTATTCACGACATTGTAAGCCCTACGAACACGAACAGCATAAAATCTTACAGCATCTTACCCACAAAATGCTTGTAGAATGCTTGTGTTTTTCTCTTTCTAAAATTTCATCTTACCCACTTAGATATTAATGCGACAAAAAGTGAGGGAAATATGAATGTGAACTCATATTCCAACCATATAAATATAGAATAAAATATTATGTTAAGCAATAAATTCAATAAGTTTAGCCCAACACAACAAGCTGAAAGCGTGTATCGTGGGATTGAAATTGTCGGTCACAGATGCGATAAAAAATTCTTACATAACAGGTGTCATTTAGACGAATTGTGTCAAAATGATTACCATGATAATAGTGATACAACAAGCTCAAATATGTGCATGTTCGTGGTGATCTAATACGCACAGTTTCATGTGCGTTAATAATGACATAATAAGCTCGAATTCATGAGTGTTTATAGTGACGTAATACTCACAGATTCATCCATGTTTATAGTGACGTAAGGTTCCTCCTGAAATAAATCATGAAGATCTCAGTCAAAAATACAATCAAGTATTTTTTATACTCAAAGCCAAACGTTAATCTTTGAAAAGATGCAAACTTTTTATCTGTTAAACTTTGGAGCTGAAGTTAGAGCGACCGAGGGCAGCTGTCCTCACTCAGGATGTCCTCATCTGAGGGAACAAAGGCCCACCTGTTGGCTGGCCTCACATCACACTGATGAGGACATCCGTGTTGTGTGTGCACAATATTGCTCTTCCATGTCGACCTATCAGAGTACAAACTCAGAACATTTGTTCGTGATGAACATGTGTATATAAATGTGGATATTAATATCTCATGTTCAAACAAGCATGATAGTATTTTGAATCGCAGAACAAAAGTATATTTGTTCATAATTGTTTTAGCTGTACATATTATAATTCAAAAAAGTTTGATCACGGAAGTACATCGTCTGAAACTTACATCCAAAAATGCATGTAGGACCTTATTGTATGAATGTTGTTCGTGTTTGTAGGGCTTACAATGTCGTGAATAAATTTTTTACAGTCATGCAGAATGTAGTAGTTTAATACCTGTTTTACAGTTATGCATAAAACAGTCGCTAAATGCAGGTTTCTTACCACATATCCCTTCTGCCTCAGTTACCATTCTTTTATGAACTCATGATTTGTGGCTGCTTCTAAAATACCGACCTCACTTATATTTATCTTAATTATTAATAGCTTTTATACTCATGCCGTATTAATCTTGACAAAAATTTAATTCAAACTTCAAACTGGAATAATATTATTATTTCAATTTAGATTGATAATTGCAGTGCTGGATTAACTATGGATTAACTTTTATACAATCTGATGCTCATCTGCCCCGATTTTTTCATTATGCAGGAACTGAACAACATATATTCAGAAATAGATATACAAGAAATGTTCCAATAGATATAATATATAATAAAGTGTTCTAATATATAACTGATATACGGCCTAGTAGGCGGGGTGCGCGGAGGCCAGCACGCAGAGACGGAGCTGCGCAGGCTGCTGCTGGCAGACTATGATAGTGACAGCCTGCCTGAACGCGGCCTCAACCTGTCACTCAGTGTCACTATTCTGGGCATAGACATGGTGAGGGGTACCATACTGGGCATAGACATGGTGAGGGCACCATACTGGGCATAGACATGGTGAGGGGCACCATACTGGGCATAGACATGGTGAGGGGTACCATACTGGGCATAGACATGGTGAGGGCACCATACTGGGCATAGACATGGTGAGGGGCACCATACTGGGCATAGACATGGTGAGGGGTACCATACTGGGCATAGACATGGTGAGGGCACCATACTGGGCATAGACATGGTGAGGGGCACCATACTGGGCATAGACATGGTGAGGGGTACCATACTGGGCATAGACATGGTGAGGGCACCATACTGGGCATAGACATGGTGAGGGGCACCATACTGGGCATAGACATGGTGAGGGGTACCATACTGGGCATAGACATGGTGAGGGCACCATACTGGGCATAGACATGGTGAGGGGCACCATACTGGGCATAGACATGGTGAGGGGTACCATACTGGGCATAGACATGGTGAGGGCACCATACTGGGCATAGACATGGTGAGGGGCACCATACTGGGCATAGACATGGTGAGGGGTACCATANAGACATGGTGAGGGGCACCATCCTGGGCATAGACATGGTGAGGGGCACCATCCTGGGCATAGACATGGTGAGGGGGCATCATCCTGGGCATGGAAATGGTGAGGGGGCACCATCCTGGGCATAGACATGGTGAGGGGCAACATCCTGGGCATAGACATGGTGAGGAGGCATCCTGGGCATAGACATGGTGAGGAGGCATCCTGGGCATCGACATGGTGAGGGGGCATCCTGGGCATAGACATGGTGAGGGCACCATCCTGGGCATAGACATGGTGAGGGGCACCATCCTGGGCATAGACATGGTGAGGGGGCACCATCCTGGGCATCTTACCGTGATAGTGCATATTGCGCGGGTGGCGGTGTAGTGAGTTAACATTGAGCGTAGAAATTCATTCACTGTATTCTTGACTTTTGATGATGATATGGTGATGATATTCTGATGATGGAATGACCATGATGCGGATGGAATGATGATAACAAAATGATGATGAAATAAAATGATGATGATGATATGATGATGATATGATGATAGTGATGTTGTTGATGATCGCTTTATTACTGCAGGACGAACAGAAGCACACGCTCTTTGTGGACGTCTGGATGAAAATGGTGAGTGACGTCGTCACTGTATTATACTTTAATGTAGAATTATGGGATTCGATTAAATTGAATTATTATGATCAAATGTTGTTATTTATAGTTTAAGACATTGTTGATATCATATCAATATTCATGTGGCCTTGCAGAATTCAATTTTGTATTCAAATAGAATTCATGTAGAATTCTATTTTGATGAAATTATGAGTTAAAAGGAATTCATAGAAGTGGAACTGAATTGTTCAAATTATAAATACGATTTATGAAAAAGAGCAAAATGAAGGAAGCAAGTTTAATTAGAGATGCAGAACATCCTCCCATGATCTTTATTCTTGCATTAAAAAGAAATGTATTCATCTGCATGAATGTCTTTTTCCAATCTACAACGCTCTTGAACTTGACGTATGCATCAATGCTGATTTAATATAAAAAATTTGAACGTATATTTATATTAGTCTTCCGTTATGTTGAATTAATCACTATGTGGTACTTTTTATTTTTAGCTCTCAACCGCGTTTTATATCATCATCAATTGCTGTTCATCAAGAATTCGATTACTTTCTGAATAGACATGGTGAGTGGCAAGGATGTTGTCTGAGTAATGCAGTGCAAGGAGTCAATGGATATTGCATGTATACCAAAAAATTTTAATTTAGAAATGGTACGACCGGCGCTTGATGTGGAACAACGAGAGCTACCCTGGCATCGAATATCTCTCGTTCTCCAAGGGACATCTCTGGAGGCCTGACCTCAGCCTCTATAACAAGTGTGTGGTAAAATGATACAATATATAAAAATATAAATCTAAATGTGCGCCAATTTTCGACTAGCCTTGATGACTTAAATTTAGACTATTTAGGCAACCCTTCTCCGTATCTTAATTAATAACAACTCTCCGTTTATTAGTCGTTTCCTGCATCCCAACAATCAGTAAAACTACTCGCACCTACACCGCCACTACTTATACCCAAACCACCAGTAACTTTTACTTGGACCCAGACAATCTCTATTTCTGTCAATAAGTACATCTTGCTCCCCAACCTTCAGTATTTACTACTGAAGGTAGTATAAACCGAAGTATATACTGTATTGACTACTGAATTACTTTGCTTAATATCGAATACTGCATTACTTCACTTCTACTGAATCACAACTCCTGAATTACTCCGCGCAGCGCTGACACTTAATATCGAATCCTGAATTACTTCACTTCTACTGAATCACAACTCCTGAATTACTCCCTGCAGCGCTGACACTTAATATCGAATCCTGAATTACTTCACTTCTACTGAATCACAACTCCTTAATTACTCCCTGCAGCGCTGAAACTTAATATCGAATACTGAATTACTTCACTTCTACTGAATCACAACTCCTGAATTACTCCCCGCAGCGCTGACATGGGCGTGTCAGACCCGTTCACGAGCACGAAGATGTTGCTGTGGCCGCACGGCAAGGTGCTGTGGGTGCCCACTGCACGTCTGCCCGCGACGTGCGTCATGGACCTGACGTACTGGCCTCATGACGTGCACAACTGCATCGTCAAAGTGGGGTCATGGGTGCACAGCCAGAAGGTCATGGACCTGAAGAAGTACAGCGAGAGTACTTTGGAAGTACGTACATGACTGGTGATCTGAGGTGTAGGTGGTTATTTCTAATATATCTGGGCCGTCGTGGTATGCTTGGCTAGCCTTGAAGATGGGTATGGTTCATTTTTGTGATATTTATATTTGTTTAGGCCTGTTTTTCATGAAAAACAGGAGTTATATTGGATAGTTTCTCATAAAATAGATTCTAATATTGATTTATATATCATCAGACGATGATTCCTAAGAAAATAATCCACGGCGATGAAGAGAAAGACGATGAGAAAGAGCAGAGCAAGCAGCAGAGCGACGTGAACGCTTTGTCACGAGGCACGTGGATTCTCACGGACAAACGTACGAGTTTCACGGGCAAGATTTACTCGTGTTGTCCTGAGACGTACGTGAGCATGAAACTTGCGCTCACGGTCAAGCGAAACGCCCCCGCTTACTCCTGGATGGTCAAAGTTCCAGCCGTAGGTTAGTGGGTTAGTGCAATGGGGTGGAAAAAATATAATTTTGTTATGAATGTACTACTATGACTTGAATAATATAATTGTAATTATAAATTTAATCATTTAATCCCGGAATATTTGCAAATTAATTCATGGAATGTTTTCAGTTCTGAGTCTGATGACGAGCCTGATCTTCATGATGCCCCCTGGGAGCACCGAGAAGCTGGTGGTGGGTTGCCTGCTGGTGCTGCTGCAGCTACAGTTCCTGGCATACGTAGACGACGTCGTGGTGCTCTCGCCCTCACACACGCCTCTTATAGGTGACTGTACAGGTCTCTTGTAGGTGACTATACACGTCTCTTGTAGGTGACTGTACACGTCTCTTGTAGGTGACTGTACACGCCTCTTATAGGTGACTGTACACGCCTCTTATAGGTGACTGTACACGCCTCTTATAGGTGACTGTACACGCCTCAGTACACGCCTCTTGTAGGTGACTGTACACGCCTCTTATAGGTGACTGTACACGCCTCTTGCTGTTGGTGTAGCTGTTCAAGCTGCTGTCAGCGGTGCTGCTGTAATAACTTAAATCACTATTTAAATAACATAATCCTATTTAAATACACTCACGTAAGATGCACATTACAGTGCAGTACGTGAGCGAGCAAGTGCTGCTGACGGGGCTGTTCGTGCTGCTGTCAGCGGTGCTGCTGCGTGTCGTGTCAGACCCTCACGCTGACACATTCCCGCGCGTCTTCCGCAAGCCTGTCGCGCTGCTCGAGCGAGTGCTCTTCTTGTCAGCCTACAGGTTCAAGGTACAGTTATAGATACACGGTGTAAATATGAATAGATAATAATTATTTGTGAGCTAATTTCAAAGGGTTTAATTATTTATCACTTTATACCAGAGGTTCAAGAAAGAGAGCTAACTGTCCGTTTATAAAAAACCTAAGACAATCGTGACAGAACTAAGAGAACTGGACAGAGGTGAAAATGCTGCTGAAATATTTCTCTATTTCGTTGATCTAGTTTGGCTTAAAATCTTCATTGACAGAAATTTCTATATTGGCGAAAATTAGTTACATTAAAATACATCAATCTTTATTTTTAATTTATTTTGCATATTTGTCACATTATTTGGAGCTGAGAGAGATTTGTACTTCAGATTCTGGGGAAAACCCTCGGTTTTGTAATACAGATTATGGGGACCAAATCCACACATCATTTTTATCGCAGTAATTCCGGTAGCATGGCATTACACAACATATTTCCAGCACCATGCAAAGTCTTGAATGTTTCACTTCATTAGACCAATGAGAACTTATAGACATATTTAAGGCTTAGAGCTTACAAAGTAACTTTTATTAAAATTCATCAAAACTCATCCTCAAATGTTAACGCATTTAACTTATTTGCTTCCAAATGCTAAACACAACTCGTAAGATTAATCTTCTGATAACAAAACATAATAATAATATTAATAATATTAATAATAAATAATAATACAATAATATTATTAGAAATAAAATAAAGGGTTTTCTACAGAACGCAAATTGCAAAAAAAAAATATATATATAATTAAAAAATATAAGACTAAAATAATCTCCACGTCGCCGTGATGGCGTTTCAGGCTGAGCAGACTTGCTCGAAATGGCAGAAGTCTTCCCGCGCCAAAGGCCACAACGGCGCCACGGACGAGAACGCGGCCATCGTCGTCGATCATCACGACCAAGACGAGACTTTCCCACACGTCGTGTCTGCCGAGTGGCTGCTGCTGGGAGCTTTGCTCGACAGGATCTTCCTTATCCTTTACCTGTTGATCTTCATCATCAAACTGCTGTGTTACTGCGGGGTCTTCTAGAGTCCCTAGAGTCCTTAGGAGGTCGAAAACCTCCAGCTAGAGTCCATAGAAAACGCTGTTGATCTTCATCATCAAGCTGCTGTGTTACTGCGGGGCCTTCTAGAGTCCCTGGAGTGCTTAAGAGGTAAAAAAAAACTTCTAGAGTCCATAGGAAACGCTGTTGATCTTCGCCTCCAAGCTGCCCTGTTACTGAGGGTTCTTCTAGAGCTTCTAGGGAACGCTGATCTTCATCTTCAAGCTGCTCTGTTACTGCGGGATCTTCTAGAGTCTCTAGGGAACGCTGATCTTCATCTTCAAGCTGCTCTGTAACTGAGACGTCTTCTAGAGTCCCTAGTTAACGCTGTAGATCTCCTCGCTCAACCTTCTCTAGCAAGAGTAACTATGTTATTCATGAGCTGCCGTCAGCAATTGAAATAAATAAGTCTTCGATATAGACAGCTTCAGATGTTCATTATTTGAATAGTATTTGGCGAATTTCTTGGATTTTTAATAAAGAATTGTTAGAACTACTTTTACTTTTTTTCTGTATCCTAGGCATTGCGTAAATGTCGATATTCTCTCAAATATTCATTTATATAGTAGTGTAAAGTTGATCTTATTCCATATAATATTTATGTTTTTCATAGAAAAATAAACGTGATTCCCATTGTTTCATCGTTTCTTATTAAGATGGTTTCTTCTACTAAGCTCTCATTCAAAAGTAAATCTTCTGAAAATTAAATTATAAATAAATTAATGATCTAAACATTGGTATGAACATAGTAATCGGGTTAAAATTCGCAGTCATTCCGATTGAAATTAGCATAGAGTTGATTGTTACGAGGCATCTTTCACTCGCAAACCTGCACGTTAGGTAAGCATTTGTTCTTTAATTAAACGTTGAATTGAAAACCAGAGAATATTTCTTATCAATAAATTCTTTGCTTGTATTTTTCAATGAGTCGAACTATGTTCTTCGTTAGCGTTAGTAAATTCAAGAGCAGAGCAGGAACAACCTCTGTCAAACTTTACCAATAGGCCTTTGTCGTTGTGAATGAAAACAGTGACAAATGCCTCCGACCAATGCAGCTGGCGAATAAAGTGTTGAAAAACAAAATTTTTACTTCTTTTATTTAGACAGTCTACAAACAAACACTCCTTGTTTCCTCCCAATATGTTCTGTACGTATGTCAATGACGGTTATGCAAAATGAATGTTTTGCAATACGATGGTTGTAAATCATGATGGCTGTGTTTAATGATGGTAATGCATGATGGTTGATCATTATGATAGTTATGTTTAATGATGGTTATCCATAATGATAGTGCTGTTCATCCAAAGAGAACTCGTTCATCAACAGTAATATCACTCCTGTAACCGTGCGTAAATTATGGCGGATTATGAGCGGCCAACCGTCGATTAATTGAGGCTTGATACCCGATTATGAGCAGCCAATAGCCAATTATGAGCTGCCCATAGCAGACTATGAGCTGCCCATAGCAGACTATGAGCTGCCCATAGCAGACTATGAGCTGCCCATAGCAGACTATGAGCTGCCCATAGCAGACTATGAGCAGCCAACAGCCGATTATGAGCTGCCCATAGCAGACTGTGAGCTGCCCATAACCGATTATGGGCCTCCAATAGCCTATTATGAGCTGCCCATAGCCGATCATGGTTGGCCGCACATGAGAAGCGTCTGAGTTACGATGGGAACGTTTTTCTGCGGCCATGATTGCTACTCCTCGTCCAATTGCTGGCTTTCCATCAAGCGAAATGAGCCATGAAAATGAAGGAAAAACTCAGTGGCTGTGGTTACCGTAAAAACTACAACTCGGTAGGTGCTCTTAATTAGCATTAATTCTAATGCTATTTCTACGGACGCTTAATGACTGGGTGCGGCTCATGCATCGTGAGGACATCTACGACCGACACCACTGGGTCAGTGGTGACTGACAGCGAGTCAGTGGCGACTGACAGTTATATTCACTCGCGACTGACAGTGAGTGTATCCTATTTTATATATTATAACCATAAATTTCTATTACTACCCAAATTCTAATTAATAATGTAAGTTTCAATTGCTAACACAAATTTTAATTATTACCCCAAATTTTAATGAATACCCCGAATTTACATTATTAACGTAAATTTCAATTATTTTGCCCACTGTTCGGGGCCCGCACGGGGCCCCTAGTACCAGGTCCTGCTTCGTGCGGTTGTGCTCTTGAGGGCCACGGCAGCTCAAAGGACGCGGCAGGCTCAGTTCCTGCGCCGCCGCCGAGGAGGAAGGAGGTCGTGCAGTCGTCGCCAGTTGAACCCTGGCTGTCTTGCTGTCTTTGAAAGGTAAAGTAACTTGAATGCATTCGTTTGTTACTACACTGACTCTTATGAATTATTTTGGTAAGACCTACGTTGGGTTGCTCCTTGTAGGTATAATTGGTTGTAATGTATGTTTTATCTCAAAATTAAGGTAATTCAATATAAGAATATCTCCTCACAAGCGTCCTGCAGGTACACGTTTTGCATGTACATATCAAACACGTTAATAGATCCATTGGCTAGTAGGTGGCGTGTGATTAACCGATCATGTATTCCAATATAATTATGATTAACAGTAACTTATATTCGAACCCATTCAACTCTACATGCAGTTAAATGCCGTGCTGTTAGAACAGCTGTTCCTTCTCAATTAATAACCAAAACTAATTAGGAAGACAGCTAATGGCGGTCCCTCCATCGGGTGATGAACGGCCAATTTATTTATTTATTTTTGTATGTTTGATGCGTACTATGACAAAGCTTCTTTAAAATTCTCTATGTCAATTTTAACGACTTAAGGCTTATTAAAAAATTTTGTGGAAATTTACAGAGATAGAAGCTACTATTCGGATTATTCCGTTAGTTTTTCATTGGGGCTGAATCAATTTTTCCTGTGAATTGTTTCTTCCCATACGCGAAAATGACATTCCTGCTTTCTTCGATTAATCTGATATCATCTTAATGAAAGACTTCTAATTGATGCTTAATATTGTATTATGAGTGCGACTGAGCTAGGCTGCATATAAATAAAGGCGTGATGAAAGATGCCGAATTCAGAGCATTTCACGCGTATAGGAAAATCGAGTCAAATGTTATGCGATAATTCATAGATTAGTGCATGAGTGTTAGTGGATATTGGTCATTTGCACGAGTATTTCAGAAATTTAATATAAGCCTCTGAAAGGGTTAATGCAGTACTGTTCAGTTATAATAATTCAGGACAAAAACAACATTAAACTTTGAAGGTTCTTGTTTTCACAACCATGGGGAATTTCTGCTAAAATTTAAATCATGTGATGTTTTAAAAGCAGAGCGAAAAATGCGAAAAATCTAACTTTTAACTCATTAAATAGTAGTATTCTCCAGCTAACTACAGCGACGCTCGTACATTCCATGTTTTCCTCTGTGGTCGAGAGCGTCGAGACGCAAATTACGTAACGAGCGAAGATAGCGCCGCTCATCCCACCAAACCGGCCGTTAATTTCAACCCAATTAAGCGCGGAGCTCAATACGCGCTGACACGAGACTGCGTCAACTGCGATGGACCTACGCACGATTTTGTATTGAGAACAACATAGGAAACAACTATACTTTATTCTCATTATTTTCCATCTGTTGCCATATGGTGATACCTTTTGCACTACCCGATTCATTCGCGAAATAAAGTCAATATAGAATACTTCCTTTTTCAGCTATGTTTGTGTTTCGTAGCATCAAATTGACTAAAATGCGCAAAAGGAAGTTTCGATGATATAAAAGGTATAATTTTACATAGCCCTCAAAACATTGCGGTCAGAAACATCGGCGTACAAAATTAGACGACAAGCTTGTTCTTAATGCAAAATTTTTGTCATTTGAGACAGACTCATTACTCATCAAGATATCAAATGAAAGCCGAAAAGTCCTTCCAGTTGAAGACGCCAGATAATTAACTTAGGTTTTATTGTGTGTTTTATCAAGAATATTATTATTAACGATGAACCTGTGCCAATATCTCGAGGCTTGGCAGACGTAACGACCTCAAGCTCTTAGCAGACGAGCTTGTCTAAGAGCTAAAAGTAAGAGCTGTGATGAGAGCTCCTATTGCGCTGAGATAAAGAGTAGCGTCACGTTCTTTGAAAATTCAAGATTAGGTTAGTTGTGTCGGCCGAATTTGGGTTGACACTAACACCAACTGATAGCTGCCGAGATATCTGAGATAGTCCCTCTATAAGTAGTATATATTATATCCCTAAATTCCATGGGATAGTCCCTCTATAAGTAGTATATATTATATCCCTAAATTCCATGGGATAGTCCCTCTTTAAGTAGTATATATTAAATCCCTAAATTACACGGGATAAATGGTATAATGCACAAAAGAAGGCCTGCAGTTAACGTAATGGTCGACGCAATAAATCTTGAAAGCAGAGTACAAGTTTCGAGTGTCAGAGCCTTTATGTGATAATTTACATAGTCATCGAGCTGATATCAGATAACTAAACTAAATTATTTCTATAAATTCAACTAAACTAAATTTATTTCTATAAATTCAATCCGTGTTGGGAATTATTCTTTATTAGAATTGCATCACTATCAAATTGATGGTAATTATATCAGGATGAAGGTAACTATATCTAAGTGAAGGTATATAATTACAATAATTTAGTTTAGTTATAAATAATAGAATGAAACATATAAAAAAATAATAAAACAGCCTATAAACATAACAAGGTTATTAGCTTACGCCCTTCTTATATGGTGGCACAACGTAACTAATATAACATATAACAGAGAAACGCAACCAATCTATTAGCGTAGCTGTAATTCTTCTAAGTAATTAAATAAATTTATTTGTACTTTAGTACTTAAATAAAAATAGTACTTGAATAAATCCCAATCACAATGTTGATACTTGAGTGATTTTGATCTCTAGTTTCAAGCCTCATGCAGTCTTTATATTTTCATTTTGGGCTAGTGAATTTTGCTGAATGAATCTCGTTTGCACAAGATCATTTAACGTCGATGGCAGCGTCCATAACTATCTTTAAGTATAGGAAAATTGTATAAATGCGCCAATGGCACAAACACTCGTTTCCATTTCATGGACATAAAGGCGTTTTTCTCAATGGAGTTCCTTATTTTTATTGATTGCCAGACAGTTTGTCCGAGATAACCGAGCTTGGATGCAAGAAAACTTGGATCATGCAATGCAGAGGAGCAATAAGTTTTGATCCTAGTCGCCCTGTCTCACCTCGAAGTCATTACGATGATAAAGCTCTCATATTGCGCTCTGTTCAGATATCTCAGCTGCATGTCGTTACAATTATTCAGACGCACAATATAAGGTGCGAGCTCTGAATAAATTAAGACCAGAGCTGGCACGCTTATTCGAACTGCATATTTTACACTGCATATTTTAGACCGTGAAACTAAATCTCGGACTGCATATTTATGGTACAAATAATTATACAATAATAATAGGGCACAATAATTGTACCTATGGAAAGTGACGAGGGTTAAAAGTGATTTTTTATTTTCATTCTAGTTTGCAGTAAATTATTGATACATTATGACCCCAAGTCGAATGAGGATTTCACTGATTAATAAGCAGCTGATTTAAACACTCAATATTATTCGAGCTTCCTGAAAAATTATTTTCATTAACAATAATTAAATTGCATGTAACTTAATTATTACTCTTATAATTATTTGACCTCTCTTATTTAGAAGCACACTTCTCCCTTAATTGCTTAAGAGCTTACGTTCATTTTAAAGAGCAACCTTCTTGTGCGATCTCGAGCCAGCGTCCATCATCCGTGGTCCGCCAGACGTCCATCTTTTGTCCACCCGAGGCGGCCCGGCTTTATCGCCGCGGCCAAATATGAGTGCGGTGATTGCGGGACCCGGAGACGCTTTTACGGGACCAAAATCAGGGATAACATCGGGACCATGAGCAGACTAATTCGTACTTGATACATAATGCTATTTCTACCGGGATTGTTGAGGAGATAAAGCAGCATTTGAAGACAAGTTCGTTGTCATTTCATAATGGTATTGCTACCTGGAGTTTAAATTGGATCAGGCAGCAGGAGGGTGCGCGGACTAAAATGCCTAAAGCTTTTAGGAGCAGGTTTTCCTTAAGATAAACTAATGGTGTTAGTGACACAAATGACGGCTAGTGAGCCGAAATCAAGGCGACGTTATAACTTGACACGCATTAGAGGGAGACTAGATTTACTGATAGCAATGAATGTAACACTTTTCACTAATAAAACTAATAAAGGGTATATGATAAAGGAACTGTGTCGTGCCAAGCTATGTTATTCATCGCAGCATGTTGCGTACGCCATTTCTTGGTTCAGTGTTGGAATTACTGTAATACCTTCTATAATAACCGACCTGAAATCACGCATTAATTATATTCAAAATAACAGCTTACTGCCACCGATAGTAATAAATCAGAAGTGTAGCTTTAAGGTATAAGACGGCAGTAGCGGGAATAACGCTCTTCAAATCCAGAGCAGCGGAGAGAGAGACTCAGGTAGGAATAGCATTACATAACAGGTATTATTTGTCGGCCAGTGGTCGTGTAGAGGATCTTAACCGCTCGAAATTTACGAGCGGGTGGAGTAGCGCTTGCGTCGTCAGGCTCTCCTCTCCGGCGCCTGGGGAGCAAAACTGGCCTGCTTGCCGGTGAGCTTGAAATATTAGGGATTTAGGGGACAAGATGCTGCTTCTTTTAGGGGACAAGGTGCTGCTTCTTTTAGGGGACAAGGTGTTGCTTCTTTTAGGGGACAAGGTGCTGCTTCTTTTAGGGGACAAGGTGCACCTAATTTGTGAAGGCAAGATGTGGATTTAATTTTCTTTTAAGGTTCAGTGTAATAGAAAGTCCCAACGTCATATTAGGAACTTATATTTGTTGTTCATAAGTGAATTACTGTTCAAACATCGGGTTATAAGAGAAGTTGAGGGAAAGTCATTAACCGATTGCAGTGAAGAGCTTCTCAATTGAATGTGAATGATGGGAAGAAGCGTTGAGTGTATGCCGCTGCGAATGACTTCGCTTGGGATGATCGAGTTTCGGACGCTCAAATACTCAATGAAACGAAGTTTTTAATATTCCGGAGTAGCTATACAAATTGAACGCCTCGAGGAAGGATTTTAAAACTGTTTTTTGTAATAGCTTTGCAGTTGCCATAATTAAAAATATAATTCTGCCTGTGTAGAAATTGTGCAGAGCAACGAAAGCGATTGTGTAGAACAGTGATTGAGTAGGGCAGTTATTGCGTAGAGCAGCAACGGATTTGAGCAGCGAATGCAAT